CCCCAAAACCCCAAAACCCCAAAACCCCAAAACCCCTTGGAGTAAAAATAAAATTGAAGATTTTTTAAGGGTTGAGGATAGCACTGAGGAGCGAGATGAAGGAAGCAATGGCGCTGGTGCCACCGAAGAGAATACCGATGAGGAGCAGGAGGTAGTTGAGGGAGGTCTGCAAGGGGGTGAGAGTGTCTTTGAAGGTTTTGGAGTATATCATTACAGGGGCAATGACTCACAAGATTGTCCCACAAAAAGCTCCATTAAAGTTTATGAACAAACCTACTTTTGGAATAATGATAGCAAGAGTGACTGAGAATAAAACCAACATAAGCCTGCCGATGTAGTACCTCAAGTCTCAATTTTTGGTGTTTGGGAGTCTTTGGTACCAGCCAGAAGACTCTACTATATATATCGGCATGTACATCTGGATTGGAAATGTCCCCATCAAACATAAGCAGTAGAGGGTGCGCGTTAAAGTCGCTAAGCTTGATGCTGGTAAGCTTAGGAGAATAATATCACTCACATCAGGACCATAAGCAATGAGCCCAAAACTTCCAACTGCTACTCCAAACAGAGTCACTATGACAGCACTAAAGTTGTAGGCAAAGGTGAATCTATCCCATTTGTTTGTTAATCAGCTATATGGATCATTTACCAACTTACTTATTCAAATGATTTCACATTGAGAGACCTCATAGAGGTGCTGGTCCATCAGGATCTTGCATTGAAGATCTCACGTTTAATCAAGTCGGATTCCCCTCAAAGTTTAGCAACGATATTCCGAAAAAGAATGGATAATTTATAAAGTTGAACATCTCAATGTCTTCCCAGTGAGCCTGATCCGAAAACACTACAGCTCCTGTTTCGTACAGGATAACTCCAAATGTAAAGAACATGGCCACTAACATTAGAGCAGATACATAAGCCAGGTGCTTCATGTGTTTCAGCATGCACAGAGGTGCCACTAGGACAGCACAAATCAGTTTGTAAAGAGTGGTATGGCCACAAATCTACACATGAGGAATATCTTACTTGATGATTGCTAAATTTGCACACTATTTGATCCACCTGCATGGAGACAAAAAGAAAGTAGGCTACTCATAATCCATTCTGAATTTATATTTATTAAGATTTAAATGTTACCAATAATGGCTTTTCCCTTTGGGGTTTTGGGGTTTTGGGGTTTTGGGGTTTTGGGGTTTTGGGGTTTTGGGG